TATTGTAGACTACCTAAGTACCTGAAGTACTCAAGCGACGTGGCCGTAAAGGCTAATACTCGTCCCCTTCACTAAATAGCATCTCCCATTCAGATCGTCGCCTCTGAATACTAGGCTGTAACGGCCGACCACTAGCATGATCTCCTGTAGTCTTCCCTCTACCAAGAGCACTGGACGGGCTCCTTATTCGCCGCTGGGACGAGGTTAGAGCCTGGCTTTGACTTGGCTGGCTGGTCTTCTGCGTAAGCCTCGCTATTGTTGACATATTCCGGCTTCCTGCTGGGCGACCTCGCTTACGACCAGCCGAGTCTTGGCTAGTACGGACTCTGCCAGCTTGACCAGCTGGCTGGCTTCCCTGAGGTATAGCTAGCTGTAATGGAATAGGCTGTACTACGTTCTTTGGCCTGCCACGTAGAGAAGTCGCTATCTTTGGGTCAAGGATCCGACGATACGGATCAGAGGAAGATGTTTCTCGAAGCCGCCAGCGGGGGTAAACCTCCCATTTGCTGAAAGTCGCTAAATCAGCTGTCTTTGAATAGATCTTGCGATAGCACGGAATACCAAGCTTAACCGAGATAAAGCAGTCATTGCCACAGTCCCCAAGGGGGGGTGGGAATGGCCTTTTACCGGAAGTCATCGCCTTTTGTGCAAGCCGGTACTGCTTCCTAATCAATGCCAGACACGTTGAGGAAAGCATTGTCCGGAGTTCACCAAGGTACTCTGAGCGAACACCTATATACTCTCGGCCTGTCAGCACCTCATCCTCTGCACAAGCCTGTCTAAAGCGCAGCTCCTGATCACTGATCATGTCTTGTATAACGTCGACAAGCCGATATAAGTGACTAAGACCATTCAGAAGGTAGCCCTTAATGTTGTTATTGCTTGACTCTGTACTAGAAGTGACGCGAACACCAAAGTTCTGGTACTTCCGAATAAAGCAACGGGACCATTGCGCCCTTGTAAGTAAGTACGTAGTATAGAGGTACTGTAGAATTAGGCGCTGGTCGTTAAATTCTTTACAGAGCGTTGTCCAGGCCTTCTGAAAACAATCCTCCGTCTCTACAAAAACAACATGTTTCTACATCATTAGGACCCCGCGATAGGTATGGGGAATAGCTTCATCTGCAGGCGTATTGATATAGGCGCGATCTTCGTCGCTAAGCTCGGCTATTACTTACATAGTTGGCTGATGATCCTCATTGTCAGACCTATTACTGTCACTACTGTAACTAGGGTCCTTGATCCACTTCTGTTTAGCCTTTAGCATGACGTTGGAGTTGATATGGTGGATGTAGAAATGTTGCTGGACTTCGGGAAACTGCTCATTGAGTGCAGCTTTCATCTGCTTATCGTAGTCGGTAATGATGACGGAAGGCTAGCGAATTAAGTATTGCTCGACTAGTTGACGGATGCTTGCTGAGAGGAACTGAAACCCTTTTAGTCTCTCGTTGTCAATAAGACCGAATGCTACGTTGTAGACAGACCCAAGGCAGGTCTGCCCAGTCGCCTGGAACAGTGGGAGCTTAAAGCGATTGGTATTATATGTGTTGTCAAAGCTGATCAACTCAGGGAACCACTTCCACATTTGGAGACAGTAGGGAAACGTCCAAACAAGCCCTACAAGGCGGTTAGGCTCATCGGCCGCCCACTTAACGACGTATGGGATCTCTCGTTCATCAAATAGCTTGATTAACGCCGCAGTTGGTGAATATCCATCCAGTTTCTCTCGGTTTATTCCGGCTCTAGCGTTATAGATGTCTCGTTGAGTGAATGAGGACTCTAGGAACTGCTCTTGGACGACAGCACGTACGTCACGTGCCCGAATCCTAACCCGTCGGCTTGTAGTTTCAATGGCATCCTTAACTAGCTAGGTAAGCTTGCGATGAGAAGGGTATGCAGATGCTCCGAGGCTGGGGCTATGGTTATGTAGACCGTGCTGAGGGTCTGGATGATAACGCAATAGCCACTTGCCCTCCTCTTGGGCCTCTGCAATAACCTGCCATTTACAGCCACACTTTCGAGACTTACGTTGACGAATGCCTGCACCCTTAGGAGGTCCGGGGCTCCCAAACCGATCGCATTGGAAGGAATACCTTATAAGCCGACCTCCTCGAGACATATATTTGTTACGTCTCACAATCCCAAATCCATTAGCTTTAGCAAAAGTATTAACTCGATCGAAGAGAGCATTCGCTGTTGGCTCTGGGTCGCCAGGAATCGGTGGGTTGGGAGTTTCGTTAAAAGAGGAGAGGAAGATTTGTCGCTCTGGGTACGATGGGAAGCTGTAGTCTGGAAAGATGATGGACTTGAAGGGGGGTTTTGTCGTGGGGGTGAATAGGGTGGTGGGTTTGTCTGAGAACCCCACGTTTCTTGCCATAGACGGCTTTGCTCGTATTGTTGGATAAGGGTAGTTAGTTGTTAACCTTTGGTTAGTCCCAACCACTCGCACAACAAGCTCAAGAATATTATTAAACTGTTCTATAGTAGGTTGGGTAGGTTGTTGAGATTCATCGTAAGAAGGAGAGGGACTTGGCTCTGGCGACATTCGGGGGAGGGTAGTACGCTGGGTAGTCTGTGTCCCTCTTGGAAAACGGCGCGTAAGGTAGAGTGTGGGCCGTCGAGACTCTTCGTCAGAAGGGGAGGGGCTGCGCGCTGGCGAGAGTCGGGGGAGAGTAGTAGGTTGAAGAGAACGCGTTCCATTAGGAAAATCGCGTTCAAGGTAGAGTCTAGGCTCGATCCCTGGGTAGTATGGCTGATGGTATAAAAGAGGCCGTGTTTCTTATATTACCCTGCCTGGAAGCTCGCTAATGAAGTCGCTTTGAGTATGAGGATCGTTAACTCCATAGAACTGGCTAACACTAAGATAGCTGCTGTCTGAAGTAGGAGATGATGGTATTTCGTTCTTGTCGGAGCGTCGGCGTTTTGTAGGACGGATTTGATTATTAGAGCTATTATCTTGAGCTTGGCGACGTGGATTACGTCTGGACTTGGACGTAGAGGACATTATGCGCGTATATTATGCCTTGAAGATAAAGCTCCTTTGAGGCAGATTCGCGTTGAAGAAACTATGAAAAGTGATGGGTACTTCAAAGAAAAGTGGCAGAATCTACATGCACTAACAATGAAATTTTCAACCAATTAAAATCGTGAACGCGGACGCCGCTGTAAGGTGGACGCCGCTGTATCAATTCCCAAAATTAATAGTTACTATTAGTATTATCAGGGTCGATATATTTTTAAATAGCCTATTTACGAGCCGAAATACGATGTTACGACCCGACATGCACGACCAAGTCCAGGGCCTGCCCCGCAGGACCACGGCGACTAGGGCACACCATAAGTGCACGAACTATGATGATGATGATGATGATGTATTTAACGTCTGGAAACAAAAGGACGTGCCGGGCGCTATGCCGACATGGTCTATACTAATCTAAACTATATTACAGGCTACCGTGCACGAACTATGGGAACACATGCGTCACCCTACGGAACGGAAGAACTATGGTACAAGTCACGTGATGATAAGATAAGACATGAGCGGCCATGGTGGGGCCATGAGCGACCATGGTGGGGCCATGAGCGCTCATGCCAAGTAATGAGCGCTCATGCCGAACAATGAGCGCTCACCCGATCAGAGGAACTGATCATTGACAAGGGATATGTTCAGGACCAGGACTTGTATATAGGATGGACTCGAGCCGGACTCTAGGACAGACTTTCCATAGCTCTTCAGCAATTAACTTCGTATCAGATCTTATGATCGCTTTCAGCTATCTTTCCTGAGAACCTCTTTGATAAGACTACGATTGATCACCGCAGCCTTCCCTTACCTTACGACTTACAGACATAGCTTCCCTGAAGCTATCCACGACTACGATTACTGTTACCAGTTCCGCAGCCTCAACTTCTGCAAACATACCTCACTACGACTAGCTGGCCGTAACACTACAGCCCAAGTTAAAGAGGAAACGTGCCGGAATAATGGTCGCCGACCGAGGACTAAGATAGGCTAACGACGATATAGCGTCTGCGGGAATACTGGTCACAATGCGCGAACCTCTTAATTCAATAAGAAAATGTCCGACAATGAGGATTCTAAGTAGTCTTAATTGAATTAATAAGGTGGGCGTTGATATTTGCTCCTTTATATAATGTGGTCGCGGTCGGGTGATCCGCTCGCTTGTCTGATCCACTCGCTTATCACGCACGTTAGCGCTATTAGTTATTATTGTATAATACCGCTTTCTATAAGCCGATTACCTATCTTATACGGTATATAGATATGACCCTCATACGGATCTTCTACTTAGAGGGATCAAGCTACTTTCTACTATACATGTCTTCCACTTGCTACCTCGCTTTATGGTACCTTACCTTAGGTGGTCAAATACAGGGTAGGATCCTGTATCCATGGGGTTGCGGGGAGTGGTGAGGGGCAGATGCTTGGTTGTTCCAATTCTGAGTTGAATGGAAGCATTCCACTCCTTTTTTGGTGATTGATGATTGAGATGGGGTTACGACACGGTCTTTTGTCCTTTCATCTTGTGCATATTGGATAGCATTCACAGTAAATAACAGAATATTCTGCACTTGAGCTCCCCTTCGTGCGCATGCACTCTACATTGGACTTGACCTCAAGGCTTTGATCCCTGGATGGGCTGGTGATTCGTTGCCTCATTACTCTATTTTCGCAAGTGTGTTTCCGAGCATAATTAGTACGTACATAGGTCAGATCTCTTCAGGAGTTCGTTGAAGGATTCATACCCCAGAAGACTTGAGGAACTACCGGTATCTGACTCGATCCGCTCAGGCACGACACCAACAAGGTTGAGATAAAGTTCTGACGCGGCATGTATTAACGAACCTGAGGTGGGATGTATTTTCTTACCAAATCATTTTATGTCGCCTCTACGGGCTCTGCCACTTATCCCAGGTTGATGGAAGGACAAATGAGGTGGAGGTGAAAGGATGCAAAAGGGGATCCTTTCCTAACTATAATGGAATGGTCCTCGGCGTATCCCGTATACAGCGAACGATGGGCAAATCAAGACCAGGGCGTCAATTATGACTAATAATATGTACATGAAAACTTAACGGATGCTACAGAATCTCTTACAACGCCCTGCCTCAACTTGACTCCTCCTGCATCTAGAAGTCACCATCTCTGGTAGTGACTTGATGGTAGTTTAAAAGTCGCAAAGCCTAGTAAGGCCACTGGAAAGTAGTGGAAATGTTCACAGACCAAGGTGCGCCCGCAGAAAACGAGTCCACGCGGCGAAGCATGAACTCGCTGTGTCTAAACGCCACGCTGGGAGCGTACTGAGGCACCATGTGACCACTGATCTTGACAGTAGAGTGGGTGAAGCCGCGCTCAGTGTGAACAGAGCCTTGCACATTGGCACCAGCCCAGCTAGGAACGTTGTCATCAACAATGTTGACGGTGGGGATGAGAAGATCCTCGGAAGGCTGCTTCTGGAATCCCTGCTGGCCATTCCACTTGATATACTGGATGGCAAGGGTGGTGACGTTGGGCTTGATCACGTAGTCTGCCAGGCCGGAGCCGACGTGGACGTTGTTCGTGCGCTCTACGAGCGTTTGGAACTTCTCCTCGTGCTCGGTGCCGTTGTAGTTATCGTTGTAGTCGACAAAGACGGGGTCCTGGCACTCGCTCCACGTGGGGTAGTCAACGGGCACGTGGATGGCCTTTCTGACTTCGGGCCTGTTGAAGTACAAGGTGGCGTTGGGAGGACTGTACATGATAGAGGGGAATCCCAGGACATCCCAGAGAACGGGGCATGTGTCGAGAATGTGGTACCCGTTGAAGCAAGGGTTGATAACCGCTGAGATCGCATCAAAGTGGGCAATGATATCGCATTCATCCTTGACATTAGCCGCGGGCCAGGGACGCGCAGGTGGAGGGTAAGCCAAGTGCTTGTTGAAGTACGCGTCCAATTGACAGTTCTTGGCATCTTGCTCGATCTGCTTGTCTGCACCGCTGGGAAGCGCAAAGACGTTCTTCCAGTAGCGGTAGAACGAAGGGAAAGCGGCGTGGTCAAAGTTCATCGCGTCGTCGTAGGGCATGACTGGGTCATAGTAGACCGCACCCTTGACGTCGAAGTAGGTGGTGTCGTTCTTGTCGAGCATGGCGGCGCCGACATAGGGGACGTAGATTCCAGCATAACTTTCGCCAGCAATGTAGATCTTTTTGCCTTGCAGGTCGAAGGTGTTGACAAAGTTCTTCCAGAAGCTGACGAACTGATCTGCCGTCTCAGCGTTGTCAGTGGCAGTGACATTGCCGCTGCTAAATCCAGTGCCGATTGGGTATTCAACCCTTTCAGGAAAGTATCAGTCCTACTCTCTCGCGTACTGATATTACGGGGATTCTCACCAAATTATGTTAGCCAACTTGTGCCAGGACCAAGCATTCGCGACAGGCTTGATGGTGCCGTACTGCCACAAGAACGGACCGTTCTCTTGCAGGAAGCCTACTGACGTTTAGTAATCCATTTTTAAGGGTCAAGGGGCTTGACTGAGCCAACCTTCCATGGATGAGCACCCTGGGCCACCATTGAACCAGATGATGACATCGTCTTTGCCAGCAGGGTTCTCGGTGGGGAAGAACCAGAAGAAATTCTTCTGCTGTTCGCTCTCAGGCTTGGTAGCGTCGACAGGAATGAGACCAGCATAGCTTTCGCCAACGTCGAAGTCGACGTCTGGGATTCCTGTGCCGTCAACGTAGAAAGCTGGTTTCCAGGTGTCAGAGAAGCACGAAAATCGAAGATGAAGGGGCATTGCTTACCACTGGTCTTGTTATTGAAGTACTGCAAGGTGCTGCTGCGACGCATAATCGCCCGTGGCGGAGCTTGCACCTCAGCATGACCAGGAGCGACGCGACGGAGCGGGCTCCGGTGCGACTTTGGCGGCGAGTAGGCGGAGATCAGCGGCAAGCTGAGCACAGCCGTCAGGCCGGCGATGAGACTTGACGTGCGCATCTTGAAGGTATGTCGTCGGTTCTTGCCAAGATGTCAAGCTTCAGAGCCTCAAAGTGACACTGCAGAGCCAAGAAGAGGCCAAGAGATGCAAAGGAACATGGCATCGCTATTTACATGTCGGTGGGCAGGCGTCAAGCTGGTATGGTGGCAAGTCGGGCGCCGGCCAGTTGGGATTGACGAATGATACGAGATTTGAGCATATTACCGTGGGTAGCGACTTGCCCCAAGGAGGCATGTCGATTGCTATGGCCCGTTCCCCAACTCTAATTCTCTATTGCTCATTTTGATCTTCACTTTGAGCGCCGTCTCCCGTTAGCTACTGCATGGGAGATGGTTTGATTCATGTACAAATCAGGCAGGTCAATGAGATAATCTGGGGCAGCCAACTGATAAGAAGACAAAGTGCCGACATAGCCAGTGTCGGAGTGGAGAAATTGAGATTGATGTCACCCTCTTGGTTTAAATTGGCAAAAGATTGTTTTTTTGACCCCACGAGCGACCACGGACTGCGGACGGCTATTCCGGGCGATGCATTGTCACTGTTGGAACAGCAAAGGCTGATAAGGAGTAATGGGAAGGTACCATGGGCTGGCTGGCACCTGCCCTGGGCGAAGTGGGACAACTGGCTTAGTCATCACGGCCGGATAAAGGTGGGGCAACCACCCAGGCCGTCACTACCTACTTCGACCGACTCCTGCCTACAATGTAAGATAGAACAACAACAAGACAAGAACAAGCAATAGGATCACCAACAGACGAGTGATAATTGCTACCACTATTTGTCGTATACGACCCCGTGAACCAACAGTCACCATCAACGGCCGACATACATATCAAGTCTAGCGTCCATGTAAGAAGTCCCTTTGTAATCCGATTCAAAAATGGAATCTCCAGCTCTTCATCACGGCCGGCAGCCATCAAATCAACGTGATGGTCGCAAATTCAGCATGATCAAACCACGCTTGGTCAATAATCTATCCGACCCCAAGCCTCTCGAACCGTCTGTAAGATCCAAGTCCAAGATCTGGCTTTACTTCTGCGAGGAACATCAGTTTAAAGCCATCAGGCTTTCCGTCAAATTCGTTAGCTGAAATTATGGCCAGGTAGTACGGCTTCGCAGGCCACTCATTCGATGTTGGTATCACAGGCGTGATACATTTCCTCATGAGGGTGTATCTTCGGCAACAATCACGTCGATGTCCGTGATAATTGCTGTTGTTCTTGTTCTTCCTAATTACATTGTGGGCAGGGGCCGATCGAAGTAGGTGGGGGCGGCCTGGGTGGTTGCCCCACCTTAACCGGCCGTGATGACTAAGCCAGTTGTCCCACTTCGCCCAGGGCAGGCGCCAGCCAGCCCATGATACCTGCCCATTGCTCCTTATCAGCCTTGCCGTTCCGACATTCGAGTCAAACACCACCCATCCAGCAGGCGCCATATCCCTTCCCGAGATGGGTTTCGTATTCTGCGTTACGAAACCGCCATATGTGATGGATCCTTTGGGATAAAACTCCATGTAGTAGTAGTCATCTCCAGTTCGAGTGGACGAATCCCCTTCTCGTCGTGCCTCCCACTCCTTCAACAGAGCTGAAAACTTCCAAGACGATGCTGAAATCTTTGGCTGAACGCGAATAATATCACTATTGCGGTTCTCCGCTGCTCTGGCAGGTACTAGGAACGATATGGCGCCAATGGTAGATGTCCAGGACCAAGTTGGCTGATCTCGAAGTGCGGACGGGCGAGTCAGCGTCAATTTCGCAAACCAGAGCAGTTGAGTGACCACGCAGTGCGCGTGAAAGTCTTCGCTGAGCAGAGAGTCGTTGTAAAATACCCCGTAGGTGTAGCGCTCGCCGATTCCATTGCCGACCTCCGTAACCAAACCCAAGATGGCGACAGGTTTGTCCGAGTCGTACGTTAGGTTTCGTGCAGCGTATGTGGACACAAGATCGCACCAGTCAGCATAGAATCCCATAATTTCCTCGTTGTCTACATATGAGTCGCCTCTCTCTGCTGCGAGTGCTTGGCTTGTTGGTAGCGCCGGGCGCTCTCGAAGAGCCTCTGTTCATCCCCAGAGGCCTCATTTTCACCATCCTCGCACTTGAGCAAGGTGCGGCACGCCCAGACCAATCGTGCTTTTGTGTAATGAATGACGCGAGGGGAGAGCATCCATTCTTGAGTTATCCAAGCCCGATTGTCAAGCGGCGTCTCGCTGACAGTGGTATTTATCGAGTCTGGAAATAGGGTTGCGGACATATATTCTCCTTGGCTCGGTTCGCTGTAGGGAAGACGAACGACCGGTTGCAGCGGAGGACGTGGAACGAAGCAACCCTCCGATCCGTCTCGGGCGCCGGAGGCGGCAACGGTTATTTCGGCGTCTTTGTAGATACGACCCATCTGAACTGATTCTTTACGCCAGTCATCGGCATTATCCTGCACGATGCAGAGGCTATCGATCCAGAGGTAACGCAAGCCGAGAAAACGAACAATCCTGATGGCATCTTGAGCAATGCTGGGCCAGGTTGTGGGATATAGTTGTGAGGATTCTGTGCTTTCCCCAGCAATGGCTCAAGGCGGCATACGAGGCATGAGTCCCGTTGTTTACCAGAAGTTTTGGTTCCCCTGATCCATCGGCTGAACCAACGTCAAGAACTCTGGTGGGCAGCAGTGGTTCGTAGCTCTTCGTCAAGGAGCCCACTGTTCCAGTGAATGTCTCATTGCACTCCGTGTGGTTGTTTTTGCTGGTATTGTACCAACGCTCTACAAGTCCAAACACCTCATTCGAACCCGAATCCGTCAACAATCTCATCCCAACAACGTCTTTATTGCGAGAAGGAGCGGTCCCTGTATTGTGAACACATCAGTCTCTCTCGGTGACATTGAAAGTTTTTTTTTTCGTGTCGCCAAGAAACCTACCAGGTTCCGAGAATAGACTCAACCTGACGAGATCATACTCATATTCGATATCTGGGATATGCACATTGATGCCAAATAATTTCGGCGGCTCACTGCGTTCAATGCCATCCCCACAAGCATCCTCGGCCGTGGCTAGTCCATCACCGACCCCGAATAGGTAAAGAGGTTCAGGCTTTGTGTTTGTCGGGAATTGATCGTCCGTTTTGGGGGTCCTGCAATCCTGGTCCATCGCGCGGCGTATCAGACTGCAGAATTCGCACACCTTGGCCGAGTGAATGAGGTCGTGTGCACTCTCGATATGGCGATATCCATCAGGCTGAGCCAATGCTTGCGGGGTTATGCCCTTGCAAACTGAACAGAGAGATGCCATGGCTGCAATTGTTGAACCCGTGAGCAGGCAAGCGTCTTGGGTGGTCTGTCAATACTCAAGGGGCATTGTTTAGCACTGAAGCCTGCGTTTCGAACCTACTAATCTCCAGGATTTGTAGAGAGTGATTGCGCGATATTCTGCCACTGCTGCGTTTATCATTATGTCTCCCGACCGCTCATCGGCAATCCTCCATGCAGGTCATCTCAGCCAAGCTGAGACGCTGTTGGCTGAGCATGGCTAAACATGCCTTGTAAAGTGAAGCCACGATGAGATCAGTTTCTGTGCCTTCTCATTCGTATGTGCTCTGAGGCTCACATTCGAACTTCTTGCTGCAGCTCTTTACCCGGACATTATATGTCTATTCCATAATAGGCCACTATAAATATCCCCATATAAGATCTGGAGCTTGCCTGACTGATTCTGAAGGAACGAGTCCGGGTGAGAGACTCAGCGTGTAGGGCTGATTGGTAACTTGAGGCAAAAGTCCACAAAGAAAATAGTTCATGCATCAAATATCTCCAAGAAAAGTCTCGAGTCCCAGCAGAGAAGAATTTCAGGGGATATTTTGAAACGTCTATTGAAATATGGACCTTGACAGGCGCTTGCCGGAGGCTGGAGCCAAGAGCAAGCCAAACAATGGAACATGACGTTTAAACAACCTTTTGTCCACCCTGACCAGTCACACTCTGCAGAGAAGTGGATTCTTACTCAAAACCGTATCGCAGTAATCTACCTCTGATAATGACAAAGTGATGTACCGGACGGCGGAGGAATCGAACTCTCCTGGAAAGCCTCCCGGTCACTTTACAATGTCAGTACGCGCAGGACGTGGACGCCGAAGAAGGAACTTCATTTCGGTATGAAGTCTTGGAAATGGAAGCCCGAGGACAAAAAGTGTCGAATGCCATTTGTAAGCCTACTGAGTAAACGACGAGCTAGTATTTGTTTTCGTTCTTTCCGTCTCTTAAAGAAAGGGGCTTGGTGAATAATCAATAATCTCTCCATTTAATTCGTACAACACCCTGGATGCCTTGGTTTCTAAGCAATCAATGACTGGTATCCCTGCTAAGCGGAGTAACAGCTTACATTTAAATCATTAAGCCGGTGACAAAAGACCGGTTCATCCCAAGTTTACCATTCCGGGCTCACTGCCTCGATTCCCCGTACCAAAAGCTCTGCTAGCCTCTCATCGCTCAAAATGGATTCCTCTATCTTCTATGCCCTGACTTTGGCTGCTGCTTTAATACGGCCCGTATACTCGATAGACCTTCCCGACTACACCGGATTAAAGATAGCCCAAAATGGAAGCATCCTCACGGTTACTTTCCACAACCCGTCGTCTCCTATCAATTTATGGAATCTGGCCACACAAAACGATTTGACCGACCTGGTATCCCGTCTCCAGGGAATTAACGAGACCTAGGTCATCATCTTCAACAGTGATGTTCCAACATTCTTCATGGCCCATCTCGATCTCTCCTTGCCTGAGTTGGCAGATCATAAGTGCATCGGAGAACAAAGATTGAAGTTTCTGTAAGGTTGAAGACATGCTCACTGACGATTTGAAGCTGCGTTTGGAGAAGCATTCGGAACTCTCATCTACAACGTCTCCCGGTTGCCCCAAGTCACCATCGGGGCTATAGAAGGCCGCGCCCGCGGTGCCGGCAACGAATTCCTTGTCTCCCTCGACATGCGCTTCGCCACAAAGGGCGAGAGCCTCTTCGGCCAACCCGAAGTCGGAAGCGGCCTGTTCCCTGGCGGCGGCGGCAGCCAATTCCTCCCTGGCCTGATCGGAAGAGGTCGCGCCATGGAGTACGTCCTGAGCTCAAACGACATCACCGCCGAGGATGCCGCAGAGATCGGCTGGATCAATAAGGCATTCGACACCTCTGCTGAGATGTACGGCTACATTGGAAAGCTCGCACAACGTTTCAGCTGGTTCCCTCTGTCGGCTCTCCATGGTGGCAAGAAGACGATTAACCGAGCTTCGGCACCGTCGCTTGAGCAGATTATCAAGGATACCAAGGATTTTTTCAAGCAAAAATTCAACTCAGAGGCACAGGCTATCGCGAAGAGATCGGCGGCGTTGTCTCGCTATATTTCCGCTGTGGATTTGGAGCTGAACCTACCTCAGTCGATTGCGCGCCTTTACATTTAGGTGGAAAAAAGAGATTTAGGAAGGACAGGAATTTGGACCAACAGAATTTATCGTCTTCGACCTCTAAAGGTTTCTCTTTTGTAGTTGATACTTCCCAAATTAGCAAATCATTCATAAAAGAGAACCGCATCTTGAGATATGAGCATGAATAGACTAAGGTGTTTCAAGCCATAATTGTCAAGTTGGGGTTGTTGACGCAGGGTGGAAGCTCTCAGAGGCCAACTGTAGTTAGGGGTAGAATGATGAATTACTGAAATCTGCTCCTCCCTCGGACGTGTACTCCCTGCGCTGTATATATATCTGAACTGCTCCTTTGTTGCTTGGACTCCTTACTACCTCTAACTAGCCCCTATCCGGGAGGGCTCTGACAATAATCCCCGTGGCGATGATCATTATACTTCGAACAGCTTTGCCTTTGAGACAACTTTCACTCTGATTTGAGTTTCTGGCAATTTCTTGACCTGGATCTCAAGAATCGACTCTGAGTATGTGAGTGACGTGGCTGGGAAAGTCTTAGTAGAGTCGCGAACCGCTGGATGCAGGAATTTGCGCCCTCAAGATCCCGACTTGAAGTCGCCCCTCAGATGAACAATGAGCATGCTGCTCGATATTTGTTTTGAGACTATCATCAGATTCTTCCGGAAATTAGCTTGTAGCAATTGTAAGGGGCTGGCCCCTAGGCTTGTTCAACATAGAGGTGCCGTCGATTGACTATTCTAAGCTAAGGAGGAAAAGGAGGAATTATCCCATCGAGTGCCAATTGGCAACAGGTACATGCCCTTGAGGGGAACTGACCACTCAGGAGACAGCCAAGACTTCTTCTAGCCAACCAAAAAGTCTAGATTATGGATACTTCTGTTGTCTATATACTCTGACTATGAAAGAGGTACCAGCAATCATCCGAGTTACAAAGCGCTACTCCACACTGCAGGCACCCTGACCTCGTCTTTTTTCTGTGGGATCGTGAGTGTTGTTGAACAGGGCCTCGTACTGCGGCTTCATTGGTCCACTGTACCCACGATTCAACCAGCCTCAAAGGCACATACTGCTGAAAAAGCTCTAAAGGGGTAGTAGATAGACCCCGTACTATTGCGGCGCGGTAGGGCACGTCGAGGGGGTTGAATTGGCCCGGTGTGCCCCTTTCTAGCGGAGGCGATTCGTGTGGGCGTACAGTTGCGTTATCACACCTCTCGGGCCTACATTGAGCTGTACAGGCGCTATCAAGGTCTTCGGGAAGTACTGCGACGGTGATATGTGAAAGCGCTGACGAATCAGACGCATCAGAGTCGCTTGAGGACATCGCGACAGTTGCCCATCTGTAGAAATGTTAGTTGTGGTGGTGAACGCAGCTGGGAAAATATAGGGGTTGATGACGTACCGTCATGTATTCCCGCGGTGAGGGGGCAAAGGTGGGTCAAAACTGGGCATAATGTACCTGTTGCCAATTGGCACTCGATGGAATAGGGGTTTGCGTATCCCATCGAGTGCCAGATAGCTCCATTTTTGCCAAGGCTCAAAATACCCACTATTTACCCATTATTACCCCGCATTCAAAGGGGTACTTGACGATACGTCATTTACCTCTATGCTCTTTTACCTGTTATCGCTACTATTACTACCATTTTGATTGATGCTGCGATGTCTTCTAGTGATTCTGATACCTCTATTACTTCTGTACGCAGCTGTATAGTAGTTGAGGTCCTTCCAGAAGACCTTACTACTGCTTGTAATACAAGCTGTACGCCAGAGCGCTGTGACGCGGCAACAGTCCGGCCCCACGAACCTCCGGTCACGGCCTAGACGGGCTACAGACAAAAGGAATACCTCTATTCCATGGGAAAACCACAGGAAGGGATCAAGGGGGGCTAATTCACTTTGTTCCTACTGTAGTAATAAGAAAGCATTAAGGGCCCGCCAGACCCTAGCTGAGATATCTGGGAATAGCCTCATACAGAAGAAAGGGACGCGGAAGGGCTGCTTAGACTGTAATGTAGCTTTGTGTACCAAGGGAGATTGCTGGTATCTATGGCATACCCAAAATATATAGGGAACAGAGGTACTGTTACCCTATTGATTGACTCGACAGATTCACAAGTCCCTATTGGCTCTACCCCGCCCTTGGCAAAAATGGAGCTATCTGGCACTCGATGGGATAGCTATGGTATGGTATGTCCGGACTCGGCGGTGTACTGCGGCAGAATAGTAGCTCCGGCAAAGCCGGAGATCTCAACCGGGCTCTGGCCCATGACAGCAATCGATCGATTAAACTCGGAGTTTTGCCGTGTTGAAATACGTGGAATCAGGTCGGGCCATCCGACTAATACGTCCGGCTCAGCCGCAGTCAGCTTGAGCTCAGAGTGATTATTGAACGCTTCCAAGTCAAGACTGTGGCTTATGGAGTCGGGCCAATGCAAGTTCCGCTACCGCCCTCGTGGACCACCGATTCCCGGAAGCATGCTAATGTAAGTCGCGATTCCGCAAAATCTTTTTCCTGATTTTGGATCAACATCTCTTGGCTGGTATTGCTAATTTGTGGATCAAGTGACAGATTGGTCAGCGAAATATCAAGTTGGCGCCGGGTTTGCCAATTCTTTCACAGATCGCTGGGCACAGCTTTGATCAATGTCGCAAAAGCAAAGTCTCCGAGACAGCGCGTCGAGTAAACCAATCAGCAGATATTCCTTGCGGCTCTGAGAACTTGCCAATCAGTATACTATGGACTGTTCGGCCCGCTGACCGTCGCAACCTCCTCACAATTTACAATACATACTAAGTTACGACTACCTTACAATCAATATACCCCTTTATTTAATACCGAATCGCACAACGTAGAAGCCGGCAACCCGACCTCATCTATATTAGAAAACATCACGCGCATTGTGTCTTCTTACGGAATTCTTCTACCTACTCAATACAAAGTGTTCAACTCACGTCGCGACCTTGCAATGACGTTCTCTCAGGAGAGGGATATACCCGACCTGGCCGGAAAGGTCGTCATCGTCACAGGCGGCAGCAGCGGCCTCGGAAAAGAAAGCGTCATCCAGCTCGCCAAGCACAATCCCGCGGCAATCTACCTCACAGCCAGGACAGAAGCCCGCGGCAATGCTGCCATAAGGGAGGTGTAGCAAGCCGTACCGGCAGCCAAGAACAAGATCAAGTACCTCGAACTAGACCTGGGTTCCTTCGCCTCGATAAAGAAGTCCACCGACGCCTTCCTCACCGCATCAGACCGTCTCGACATCTTGATGAACAATGCTGGTCTGATGGCTACCCCTCCGGGCCTAACAACGGATGGGTACGAAGTCCAATTCGGGTCAAATTACATGGGACCGGCCCTCTTCACTAAGCTGCTTCTCCCAATCCTCAACAAAACCGCCGAACAGCCAGGATCCGATGTCCGCGTCGTCAATCTGAGCTCCGAGCTCTTCAAGCAAGCGCCCTCAGATGGAATCCTCATCGCAAAGTGCAAGACCCCCCTGGACGATATCTCTAGCTTGGCTCGCTACGGTCAGTCCAAGCTCGCAGACTACTAACACACCCGCACGCTGAGCCAGCTCTACCCTTCCATCAAATTCGTCGCAGTTCATCCCGGAGTGGTGAAAACCGGCCTGTTTGACGACTTTAGGAAGAGAAGGCCGTGGGTTGGTGGGGTGATCAGTGTGCTTGGGTCGATCTTCTTGACAGACGTTCACGCGGGTGCGAGGGCTCAGCTTTGGGCCAGTACGGCTGCGAGTGCCAGCGTCAAGAGTGGAGGCTTTTATAATCCCAAGTTCAAGGAGTATAAAGAGGCGAACTTGTATGACGATAAGGCGGCCCAGGAACTGTGCGATTGGACCGAGAAGGAGCTTGAGGGCCAGTGATCTAGACATGAGTTTCCGTGCCACTTTGTCCGAGTGATAGACTGCCTGAGATATAGAGCGCAATTAGGTTGGGATATGTGTCCATAAGAAATAATTAACTAAAAGGTATCAATCGTAATAAAACCAGCTAAACACCAGACGCATCAAATCATCGATGAGTGAAGGGACGTCCCCCGGTTCTAACCCTTTTGGTCATTCTTCTTCTCGTCCAGACAGATGCACAGGGCACACATGAGCGCCATGTCGACCCCCGGCGCCACCGTTAGGGCGTATGTCTGCTTGCCACCGAAGAAGTCGCGCGCCCGAAGCATGTTTCTGTCAATCCGTCCAAGCACCTGGCCAGTATTCGTGTCGACGATATCTGCCTGCGTCGATAGCCAATTGCCCTTCATCTCGAGTGATTCCGTTTTGCCCGTCTGCGGTGAGACGAACGTCGCGGTAGCTTTTGAGCCGATGACTGTTGCAACCCGGTTAGCTACTCGTCCCGCTTTACTAGTGCTAGGCAAGGATAGGGGAAAAGAAACTCACGCGCAAAGCTGTTCTTCACTTCCATAATCTTATTGCCCTTGGGATCCTGCGCTGCAAACGTCGTGTGCAGGTGCAAGTGCTCCTTGACGATATCGAACAGGTGGTTGCCCGACATGTCGTAGACGGCCTTGCGGCCTGAAATGGACAACGCCTTGCCCTGCACCCGGAGGATGGGCTGGCCATTGGCGAGCTTGATGTCGAAGCTGTCGCCGGTGATGGAGAGGATCTTTTCCTTGAGGACGAGGGTCTCGCTCTGTCGCGCCGTCAATTGCGGGAAGATGCCGACCGAACTCCCAGCTTGGGGCAGGTTGTGGACCGCTGGGGCAGCCATGGTGTGTGGTTGGTGTGTGTACGTGTTGGGGATTATTACTAGGTCTTTTTGGCAGGTCTGTTGTTGTCGTGAATGACGAGGTCGCAATAGGTGTTGACAGGAAGATTGGTTTCGTGAGATCGATCGCCAGACGAAGACGGGGGATGGCGACTGGTTTTATGAGAGACAGATGCATGTGAAAGCCCAGGCGCACACCAAAGTTGCTCCTGCCATCAGCTTGAACCTCGACAGCTTCAAGATCCGCTGGCTGCCTGCGGCTGGGTAGACCATTGGGGGCAGTGCGTATTGCTTAGCGCCACCAGTCGGTTTCGCGGGCTCACAGGGCGACGAGAGACAACGCAAGTACGGAGTACCTGAGGGGAGGGGAGGGGCAGCGTCGCTGAGAGCTCACGTACATTATTGGTGTCAGACAGTCAGATTAGGCTCGGGATGACGTCAAAGGATGAAGCTGTCTGTCCATTGACAATGCGTAGGGAAGCTCGAGCAATGCTGAGATCAGACCCATTTTGTTCCCGTTTAACGGTTTAAAGGAATGGGCCAGTCTTACACTAATTAGCTGTGATCGACCCCTAAGGTGCCTTACTTCGCGACAGATGAGGGGCTATGAAAGCCACATCATCTGCGGACCTACTGGTGACTTACCCAAACCATTGCAGCTCTCGAGAAGCACGGAAATGAGACCACTTGCCCCAGGTGAGGCATTGTCTACGGGCCAAGTTACACCATTACACGTAGCTCGGGCAGATTAAGACATCATCGCATCCGAGGCCGAAACCGAGCGACAAATCTGATCAAAGTTTAGCACAGCCACAAAGATGAGGCGCGTGGTCCCTCCAGCCACTCAACTGAACAGTAAGGTACGTACGGTTAGTTCTGCAACGCCACGTGAACGCCTCGGTACGCCACAGTGGACCATCATGTGGCTGAAATGCTTCGTGGCGCAGACGATTTCCACAGCCAGGTGCTCATATTAAAGTTGTCGCAAGATTTCTGCCATGTTCTCCACCGATGGATCACCTCAGCATCGAGAATAATTGCTAGTATTGAAGTTTAAACAGTTTAGGAGAACGTAATTCACTACTTGCAGACCTCGTGCTCAACTTGTCAAGTGAAGCAAGGATTATCAGAATCTCGGTAATACGTTTCACACAAGGCCATGAGAACAGAACTTCCAGCTCAATAAATCAACTTTTCAGTTCATATTCGGTCCCGGCACCGGGACAGCTCATTCTTCCGTTCGTGTGCACCAAGTCTGTGATCCAGTCAGGTCTGTCGTCTTCCGGTTCAGCGCCGATGTGATTAATATTCAGTTCACCTAGTCTTCCGGGCCTGCCTCCATCGGTTCGGTTCGGCACGGAGACCAATTCAGCACCGCTTCACCGCGACCAAGTGCCGATAAAAGCGATTGAGACAGCCGGAAGCTGCCCCGAACAGGTTTCCCCGCGTGCTTCCCCACAAACAAACGCCCGGGTCTGGGGAACTTATAATTACCTAGCGCGCCTGATCGGGATGTTCGTCTGCGAGCAACCCCAACCTCGTGGTTCCTTGGTGGAGTCTGCGAGGGATCTAATAGTGAGCGAATTGGCACTAGGAAGCATACGAGACAAACATCAGGACGTTCTACTCGGTGACCGATTGCCCGAGTAGCAAAACTTTCTTGCTGGTCGACGTAATTTGCTCGGTGTGGATCATGCGAATATTCCAGACTACAAGATGACACCCACAAGCTGAAGAAACTGGACCCAGGATGATCGCACTCATGGAGTATTTCCTGTCGAGACGACGTTTCACTGGTGTTCTTTCTCTCGAAACATCGTTCCGATCTTTTCTGCCCATAGTACCGGGTTCCAGAAGCGTGAATGGCAGTCTCCCATTTGTTGCTGGCGCTCGCAGCCAGTGCCGCTGGTGTTGTCACGGCCGTGTCAAATGGCAACTCGACTACGAGGTATGACATCAAGACCGGTTGTTCCCAAGCAGAGAACTCATTCCTATCTTTCAAATTTCCCAGAAACTTCACGGCCAAAGGCATCGCTACCGGCACGACAGCACAGCTTCAAACCTCCCCTTTCGCCCCATTCAGCTTAAGCCCGGAAATCCCGCTAGCCACCTTGGACTACGGGGCCGAGAGAGCGGGTTATCCGACCTTCGAAGTCTCCGCCATCAGCGCCCCGGTCCAGATCGAGGTGAAGTACACGGAGCACTTTGATGGGCTCAATCACCCGTTCGACGACGGGCCGTACACTTTCTCCAACCAGCTGAGCAATAGTTTCCGCGTCGAGACGTTCAATATCACTTCCATCAGCCGAGTTACATCGCCGCTCATACAGGGGGGGCAGAAATGGCAGTCCATCAGGCTCTTGACGAATGGCACAGTCTCCTTTTCGAGCGTAGGGTTCGAGGCGACAATCGATACTCTCGAGCCGGAGGAACTCCCGGGCCAGTTTGAGAGTGATGATGAGATTCTGAACGAGGTCTGGAAGCTCGGTGCTCGGGCAGCCACGGCGGCTTGCTTCGACAAGGGTACGCAAAAGACGATTTGGGAAGTTACTGAGGAGAACAGAGTGTTTGCGCGTAGCACGAGGCCCTCGATGACTTACAAGGCCACTAAGTGGAGCAACTACACCCTTGAGTTTGATACCAAGCTCGAGAGGGGAGGAAGCTGGTGGGTGACGGTAAGTTTGGACTCAAGTGCATCCCAAAGGAAGTAAGTGCTGATGCGGCATACAGGGAGGAGTTATTGCCGGCAATGGATACACCATGCTTCTTACCGGCGAGCTTCCCGAGTCGAGCACCTTCGTCAACGTCAACAAGACTCTGACACCGCCCAACACCATCTCGTTGGCATACGGGCCCGACTTTGTCAACTAGACAACACTCACAAGTTACTTGTTGGATGTATTTGACGTCCCTTTCACGGTTAAGGAGAACGATTGGTACCGCATCAAAGCCTCGATGGCTCCCACCGGCTACCTCGCAGTCTCCATCAACGACACGCAAATTCTCAACATCTCGCGATCCGACTACCCGTGGGCCCTTAGCTCCGGCACAGTCTCGTACTCCGGATCCCCTGACTTCAGCGGCTCATTCGGCTTTGGAGCGTACCAAGACCAAGCAGCCTACTTCAGAAACGTGCACGTCTACGACACCGCCAACGGCACGATGCTCTACTCCAACACACTCACCGGCAGTTCGGAAGACGTTATCGCCGATTATGGAACCCAAGCCAACAGCGAAGCCGCCTGCCTCGATGGCCCGAAGCGCGACCGACTCATCTGGCTTGGCGACTTTTACCACACCGCACGCATAATCGCCGCCAGCACGTCAAAGATGGAGCAGGCAAGGGGAACCTTACAACTCCTGCTTGATTCGCAAATCGCAAACGGGCAGATGAACATGTCGCCTACCCTGGGTTACAACCTTGCCTCCGTCGCCAACGAGCTGGCCGCTCCAGCTGGGAGATTCGGGCTGCAAGATTACCAGCTCCTAGGCCTGATTGTCGAGTTGGGGTGTGGACGCAGGGTGGAAGCTCTCAGAGGCCAACTACAGTTAGGGGTTAGAATGATGAATTACTGAAATCTGCTCTTCCATCGACGTGTACTCCCTGCGCTGTATATATATCTAAGCTACTCCTTTGTTACTTAGACTCCTTACTACCTCTAACTAGCCCCTATCCGGGAGGGCTCTGACACTGATGGCCTTCAATGACCACGTCCGTCTGACAAACGACCTCGACTGGGCGCGTTCAACGTGGCCGCGGTGGCAAAAGGTGCTCGATTGGCTCCTGCCGCAGATCAACTCACGACGGGCCTATTGACCTTCGATGGAGGGTTCGCGTTCACAGGGCCCGCGGACGGGGGATCCGCCATCGGGTGCGAGGCCGTCCAGACTCTCAACGGCGCCGCCGACGTCGCTGACGCGCTCAACGATACAGTATCCGCTACGCAGTACAGGGACGCGGCGACGTCGTTGGCGACCGCGATCAACGAGCGTCTCTGGAACGAAGAGGCAGGCGCGTACGGTCTTTCGCCGGCGGATCTGGACGGCATCTCAGTGGCCGCAACAGCCTTCTGCATCACTTCAGGCGTGGCGAACGCAACACGCGCATCGCGGTCGCTTGCCGCCGTGTCCGGCCTGAAGCTGGGACCGGGATACAAGGATAACTCGGCGGTGAGTTCCAACGACTCGAGCGTCAACATCTCGCCCAACACCAATGGGTTCTTGCTCGAGGCACTGTTCGTAGGCAACGAGACGCAGGCAGCGAGGGAGCTGATGGAGAGTCTCTGGGGCGCGATGCTACCCGGCGACACGACCGCAGCGCAGAACAGGAGCGCGGTCGGCGCGAGATGGGAGTACGTCAACGCTGCGACGCGACAGCCCGGCTTGGGACTCTTCACGAGCTTGAGTCATCCGTGGGGCGGCGCTGCGACGTATGTGTTGACGGAGTGGGCTGCTGGTCTCCGGGCTGCTGCGGGTGTTGATGGGTTCGGGTATAAGAACTGCGTGGTCTCGCCTGCGACTGGTGTCGAGATGGGTTTGAAGAGGGCGAGTGCCAAGGTTGTCACTGCGTTTGAGGGAGAGTTGAGTGTTGAGTGGATAGTGCGGGATGGTGATATTGGTATTACTATCCGGGCGCCGATCGGCACACGGGGACAGTTTGTTTACGGGAATAAGAGCATTGCGTTGCATGGGCGGTCTGAGTATCAGTATACCGTCGACGCGTCGTTGGATAATGGTATTGCTTAGACTGGCTTAGCTAGCCGAACTAAGGTACTGAAAGTAATCAGTGAGAATTGGCGACTCGCTTCCTTATAACCATCACCATTATAGTTATACGTTGACTGCATCTTTTGAGGAACATTTTCCTGAGGACATAAGGCAAGTACAGAGGACTGTACCAAGCAAACAAGAAGGGTTGTGATAGCGGCGGTAGTGGTGGAAAGAATAGAGGTACGATATTGTTGGGCGGCAACTGATCTTGTCACCTTCGTCCGGTTGCTCCGTTCCGTCTAAGCACACCGAAAGTAGCCTGGTGGTCTAGTTCAAGTCGTGACGTCGTAGACAGTGGTCGAGGTTTGCATGGTCAGTCACGATGTGGCCCCCCGTCTGACGCGTCTGCGCCGTTTGGTCGTAGCCGAGACACAGTCAGCGCTTGGTCGTTCTTATTGTGGATTCTCGCTTTTCACTGGCATCGATTGCCTCCACTCAGGCGATGGGTCAATGAGACCAACTAGAGGTTGTATAGTGTAGCGGTTATCACTCCAGATTTTGACTACATCAAAACTTCTGGTAACCCCGGTTCGAACCCGGGTACGACCTAACATACCGGCACCCTTCAAGGTGTGTAAATTCTCTTTTTGCGGTTCTGCATCTCTCTATTTCAGTATGTATGAGGTTATTTTCAGTGAATGCTTGGTCACCAACTTGCATGCACCTACAATGCAGTACTCAGACAATGCTCTTGAACGATGACCAGTGAATACTACTGATTATTGCTATGCTTTAATTGGATGCTTGAGTTGGTGCAGCAGAGACGAGTTGACTAGGCTGGACTATATCAACAACAATCAGAGGCACGCAACTAGAATACAGCCAACTGACGGAAACCCTTATTCCCAGCAACGGAGGTTACTCACCCAGCGACTTGGAAAGTCGCATGGACACGAGCTGGACGCGCTTCCGGAGTCGAGTAGCCCGGCCCGCACGAGGCATCCCCGGCTACTTTCGGCACCAAATTCCGGCATCGGAGCTGCCAAACAGAGACCGTGCCCCGCCCCTTCCCCTCAAACTCCGAACTCGAACCGTCCCACCTCCGCACTTCCCGGTCACATGACGCCGTACTCCATCTCTCCGTGTGAAGCTTCCCCCTCCCTCGTGCCACAATTATGTCAATGTCTGCCAGAATTCTGAGAAGCAGCTTCGTTCCCGCAGTTCGGAGACCGTTTGTTACTAGCAAGCCCGCCTTTTTACTGTCCAATCGCTACCGCACAATGGCCACCAAGGAGTTCCTCTGCATCCTCCCCGACAAGCCGGATGCGCTTGCCCGGCGCTTGGAGGTCAGACCGTAAGTGACCTATTCGCGGAACCGGTCTCCTATATGAGGCTGAGTGACGTCCCGGACCGATTACTGACTTGCCGCAGTACACATCTTGAGAATGCCCAGGGCCACAAGAGCAACGGAAAGGTTGCCGTCGGTGGTACGTATCTGAGCTCAGAATACCTCTCCTTTCCTTATTCGAGGTCTGTGACATTATCCATGCTAATGGTCATTCAAGGTGCCATGTTTGAGAAGGAGCACCCTGTCGAGGGCCAGACGCCCGGCTTTAAGGGTAGCGCCATGATCTACACCGTCAAGGACGCCGAGGAAGCCTGGGAACTCATCAGAGGCGATGTCTATGCCAAGAACGATGTTTGGGACCTGGAGAAGGCACAGGTCATTCCGGTAAGTTTATGCTCTCTTGTGAAAATTGTCAGCTATGAAGGATTCAGCTGATGTGGAATGATCGGCATAGTTCAAGTCAGCTATTCGCGAGTCTCTGTAAACATGTCTGAGTACGCTAGTCAACTTGTACACAATCATATTGCAACCTAGGGCAGACTTGGCTCCAGCGTATTCCATCACAGGAATATACAGGAAGCCCATATAGGTCCCTCTGGTGCCATTCCTGTCACCAGCATAGCAGGCGCCTTCCTAGGTCGGTTGGTCAATTCAAACTGGCTGGGCGGTGGAGTGGTCTAAGGTCAACAATCAATTACGCCCACAGCCTACTCGACGACAGGCTACGAGTTCCGAGTTCGAATCCCAGCAGGAGCACCCAGAGATGTAACCACACCGGTGGTGAAGTCTTTTTTGGTTTCAAAGCCAATCATTCCGCAGCAAACCACTAAGACAGATAGACCATTAAAGCGCTTTTTGTTGTCATTTCCCATTTGCCATTCAACTTTTGATTACCGTTAATCATTACCTCCTACCTGTCACCATCCCCATCGACAGATTGAATCAAGTCCTCCACATCCAACCTCTCCGCCAAATCCAACAATGCCTGCGGTGACAGACCACCCATCCCGCTCGTATCGAAGATGTCCCACCCAGCCTCCTCCATCTGATCCAAGAAAGACCCATGCTCGTGCCCATGCCCATGCCCATGGTGATTCTGAGATTGATGATGCGCCGCACTCGTCGGCGGCGGCGTCGGAGGCTCCTCGCCCACAGGCGTCAGCGCAGACATGATGTGCTCCAACTGACTCAGCTCCAGCTTCCTCAAAGGCGCCACGAGACTCCCCTTTGAAATCATCTTGTCTAGGACGCACTTGATATTCTCACACCACGAATCGTCGTGCAAGAGGGAAGGGCTGATGACGCGAATGAGGTAGAGGAGGAACGCGGAGGAGAAAGCGTCCTCTAGCTGGAAGGGGAGGAAGGCTTCGAGGAGGTCTTCGTCGCCGAGAACGCGGAGGGTTCGGAGGACTGTTTGTGCTGAGTCGACGCAGGATTGGAGGAGGGATGCGACTGGTGGTGTTAGAGAGACTGCTTGTGTGTGTCGCGTGTGGCTATCGGAGTGTTCGATGTGCATGTGGAGGGCGCACATGACTAGAGGTCGAGTCGTCAGAACGACGCACTTCTCTTGTTAGCAGAATGACAGTGTATGGTTTAATAGGTGTACTTACGTGGTGGTAAGAAAGGATGAGTCGCAGTGCCATCCTAGAAGCTCGGCTGACGGAGCCTTGGAAGTGGGTGTCGAGGAGTGCGGTAAGGTCTCGTGATAATCTGGCTAAATCCCTGAGGATAGACTGGGTGTTGGGTACGAGTGACCCGTCGAACTCTTTTCCCACACCGTAAATAGCTGATACAATCATGTCAGTGACCGAAGACTTTCATCCACATTGCTTTGCGGCCGAGGAACTCACTTGTAAGAATACGGGCCATGAGCCGTGATAGCCGTACGTGGAGGGTCATGTTTAGCGCATCGAGAGAGTTGTCCATCTGCGAAGGAAGCTTCACAGTGATATCTTCATCCCGAATAGAAGTTGGCGCTCCCATCAACGCCGAAAATTCTCTGTCAAGGGTGTACACCACCCAGAAGACAATGTTGCAGCGTCGGGAGTACTCGATGCCGACAACTTCTTCGGGCATGTGTCTATAGATGCCCTCAACGATGCCGATTCGCAGCGCTTGACCGATCTAGATTCTCGTCAGTACTCGTCTTCTCAAAAGTTCCGGGTCGCCAGAAAGCTAGAAAGGGGGCACGGGTCTTACATGCTGATACGCAGCCAATCTCATATCCAGACATTGAAAGTACAAGGCAGCTAAAGCAAGCGCCTGGATAGCCGGAATCGTATCAGGGTTTAGCCCCGACAAATCTGGCAACAGTGACATAGCCCTCGCAGCATACTGAACCCCCGGCGGCGCCGCATGTGAGCTGCTATTCACGACGAACGCTTTCCCGAACGCTAGTACTAAGAGATACTGCGCATACCACAGCCTTGTAGAGCTAGCCTTGCCTGCTGGGTCCTCGTATAACTCATGCAGGTTCTTGAGAAATGAAGGCTCGTCAATTAAATAGAAGACAGCGCCGAGGTAAAACTTGACGGTGTTGAACAGGAAGAGGGCGTAGTCTAGAGGTGGAAGGTTGGAGACATCGGGGGTCTCGGTTGCGCCTAATGGTGTCCATTGCATCCTGAAGGCACCTTCATGGGGCAAATGCCATGGGTCTGGGGCTGCTTCTGGTAGACGTTTGCCTAGGAGGGCAAGTACTCTTCGGCAGAAGGACCATGATGATGTTGGGCCCATGTACCCTGTGGAAGTGTGAGCATTGGATCAACTTACATGTACTCGGTACTAGAAGAGACAGAATATGACTTACAGTATCGTTCCCCGACCTTTGCAAAGGTGTAGTCGTTGTCCACCAGCGGGTTTTGTCTGAACCCTGGGCCAAAGTCGCCGTGATCTCCCTGATTTGAAGGGGCATCTCCTACTTCAGTATCTGGCTCGGATGCCGGAGGGCCTACAGGTTGTGGACTGTCTAAACATTTGGCAGCGTGAGCTAGAGTATCTAAGTGCACCGCATCCAGTGACAAGAGACAAGCATAACTCACCATGGCTCGGCGTCTCCAACTGTCCGGTATTATCTTCACCCTGAGAAAGAGAAGTATGATGCGGCGTCGCATACGCATCCGCATCCGCATAGCGACTCTCCTCAACGTCGTCTCCTCTACTCAGAGCCCTCGCCGAGCGGTCTGAACCATGCTCGCTATTCCTGTTCTGAAGTTCTCGGAGGTAACTGGAAAGTGGAGTCAATTGTTATTGTTTCCTATCCCGACAACTGCACGCGCACGGGTTCCGACAACTCACCTCTCCGGCACCGATATCCTCTTATCCTCAACAGCAAAGATGCATCTATGCTTCTTTCGATCGCAACGGGTACAAGGCGAAGAACCGGAGCACTTGACCTTCATTACCCGACATCTTTCGCAACTTTTTGTCCATGTCCCAAGTCAGCCTTCAGTCAAAGAACACGAGACTCCTCCGAACATCGGAACGCCCGGGCCCCTCCCTGTCGCACAAGACGCACGCTTTTTGGCATTTTTTGGTCACTTTGTATTGTCCCTGGCTTAATTGCGGCATGGCGGACGGTTCTCATGGGGCCAATTCGACAACTTCATGTCTTTCTCGTTGCTGGATACGGTATTCGCGATGGCTTCGGGGCCTTTTGATATGTCGGAGCAGGGTTCCGACAAGTTTTCTATGTGCGCAGCTTGGCCTCTTTATTGGCACTGGCAAATTTGGGGCACACAGTCCACTAGTGCGAGACCGCAGGACGGCTTATCAGCCGTGTGTTGGGGCCGATGACTCGCCGTAGATAGCCGAGGAGGTCTTTGCGCCATTGTTATCTTTGGGATGCTTGTTATTTACCCCAGTGTCGACGGATGTTCGTCCGTTCATGGTCTCCGGAGCACCGGAGCGGCGGAGTTAATATGGATAATGGAGAACGTAGCATCTGCTGAGCTGCGCACTTCATCGCGGGGAAGATCGGCACGTGTGTGTCAAGCGTCAAGGGATATGGAGAATTTGCCAGAAATCCGGGGTTGAACGATCACGAGACCAAATAACTCCGAGGGGTAGGCTTGCAAGGGAGAAGGGGCGTTGGTGAAGCAGCCTCAAGCAGGTGGCCCAAGCCATGGGGTAAACCAGGTGAAGGTCACACCCATTGGCATTTGCGTCTCAAACCGCACGAATATATGAATGTCGGACTCTTATTCGAAGGTAGATTCTCGTATTTTGCTGTCGGAATTGGCATGACCCAGTATCCTGGACGAAGTTGAAGGCATGGCCGCCGAAAGAACGAATAACGAGCCCTCACTCTATCAGCGTTGTCGGCATACAGTGAGCAGAGGATTCAAACCCCAGGATCGTTCGCCGAGATACCACCTTGCAGTCGTGAGATAACCGTTGCGTAAGATCTTCAATGGCAAACAGCTAGGTTGTGTTTGAAAAGAGGCTTGGAAAGTCACCGGTTCTGCCACGGGGTGGCCGACGCAATGTCGGGTTGTGCGTCCGACATTCCCCAACACACGCCAAGGTGGATATCGGATTCTCATTCCGACATTTTACAAGCCAATAGCGTCATCGTGTCTTATCACGCCTCTAAGACAGGCTTCGTGCCAGCACGCCATGGCTAGGCGAATTGCCGACATTGAGAACGACGTCGTCAGGGTCTGTTACAAAGTGAACTCTGGCTGTAATCCAAGATCTCTGTAATTAGAATTGAAGCACACTTTGAGGCAATTGGAGTGACGATGAGGTGTTCCTCGTTCGGGCGGTTGATTCCTCGAAGGTAAGTTAGTAATCACGATGCTTGTAGCCAAGTGCTAAGTGAGCATGTTCTCTCTCTCAGACCACACCCTGCACCGGCTCTACTACCAAGCCAGAAGTTTTCTGTCAGAATGTCTTCAAACAAGTCGGAAGACTCCAAAGGGGACATTGCAGAGCGTCTCGGTAACTTTGAAGAGATACAAACCAAGCGCCCGGACTTTGACCACTCGAATGCCCGCATTGAGGTCACAAAGTCTCCCGATCCGACTTGGTCTTACGGTCAGGGAGTCCGCACCCGAGTTAGCAAGTCCGCAACGCACAAGGAGATTGACCCATACGCATCCGACCGATCAATGATCAATAACTACCGCCTTCTCGTCTCCGGAATCGCACCGAGGCCGGTGGGCTTCCGGAGTACCTTGTCAAAGGACGGCAAGAAGAACCTTGCCCCGTTCAGCTATTTCCAAGTCATTGACCATGATCCACCCATGTTTATAGTCGGCTTTTCATCAAGACCCGGCGCTGTCAAGGACTCGTACCGAAATCTCAAGGAAACGGGCGAATGTGTCATCAACACGGTGTCGGAAGACATGATTGAGGCCGTGAATGCAACCTCCATTGACGCTCCGCGCGGAGTCTCTGAGTGGGACATATCTGGGCTGCATGAGGGAGAGACTACGACGGTGAAGCCATTGAGAGTTTTGGAGTCGGTATTCTCGATAGAGGCAAAGGTAGTAGACATCAAAGAATTTAGTGACCATGCTAAAGACGGGAAGAGTGTGGCCGGCATGGTTTTGCTCAAGGCGACGCGGTTCTGGGTGATAGAGGATGCAGCTGATTCAGACTACAGTCATATTGAGCTCGAAAAGTTGCGTCCTATCGGTCAGCTAGGTGGAAAAGCATACGGGCGCATCACATCAACTTTTGAGGTGCCTCGTAGAAGGTGGCAAGATGAGCAGAAAAGCGACTTTCTTCAGAAACTAGATAAGTCAACCTCTAAATATAAATTTCTCTTACAGAAAGATGCGTACGACTAGTCACGCTACGGGCAGACTGCACATGCACTTAATTGTTGATCGGCGTCGGGTTTTCAATGTCGTTCAACGTGGTCAGCTGTCCAGTATCGACTAAAGCCTTATCTGCTTGGGCGTGAACGACATTAATGACCATTTATCTCCAGATTTACTTGTGCAAAGAATTCCAGCTTGGTTACGGGATGTGGAGGATTGATGGCTCGGAAGCCATCGCCTGCGATTCAACCTCGCCTGATTGGAGATCAGTCACCTAGGTCTTACGATGGTAGGGATCTGTAGCCCAATCAAGTATATTGAGGCTGTTGGTGTTGTTACATTTCATGCTTACGAGAGCCATGTTGCTTGGCGAGATGAGGCTCTTCTTGTCATAAAGGGGAGCACCGAGTAGAGTCTTCTCGTCTCTCCCCAAGCCTTACGCTTCTTTTGCATCACCAAATTTGCACATATTCAACATGACCTCCGAAGTCGTCTCGCAAGCCTCCGCCATCGCAGAAAATGCGTGGGAATCCCTCGTTGAGCGAAGCATCAACGAATGGAATGCACCCAGTGGGAATATGCACGACTTCGCGAAAAGCTTCTTGCAGTCTTACACAAGCTTGGATGATTTCCTCCTCGGTCCAAGGGAGCTATTACTTTTCTGGTTCTTCCAAAGAAGAGAAGCCTTTCTCTCGCAAAAGACATTCACTAAATGGGATAGAAATCGTCTCGATGACTATGTTCTTCTGCCCGCTATAAACAACTTCGTCATGCGGTCAGAGTGTTTCTTTGTCAGCCACTTCTGGACCACGAGCAACGATCCAGACCCCAGCGGCGACAACCTGCGTCTCCACCAGATGGGGCTTGGGCTTCAGAGCTGGTCGCACATCTGGGTCGATTGGAGTTGTCTGCCTCAACATCCTCGGACTCAGGTAGAGGAGGCATACTTCCTGCGAGGGCTCGAGACGATGCCAGGTATCATTCGCAACTGCGGGTTTATGTGGTTCTACCCGTCATTTCAACCGCGACTATGGATTCTGTATGAAATCACCGAGTACACCTTGACGTGTGACAACGGAATTGAAGAGACTGAAGACAACAAGGAGTTTGTAAAGCACATTCGAGAAATGGAGGAGACGGGAGTTCGATCGGTGCTCAGCAAGTATGGATACAGATGTAGCGACGATCGGGACAAAGACTACTTGACCTCTTGTCTGGAAATCCTCTGTTACCTGAGACGGTTTGGAATTGACCTTGTGGAGTTTAGAAGACTAATGTCCGACATTTTGTGGTTCTCTTTCACGCCAGACATAATGTACCAGTCTCACCTTGGACTTGTGCAGATTTGGAGGTTCGAGGGGGCGCTTGAGTTTCAAGGGAAGCGTTATGAGTTCACGCCGTATGCAAAATGGGCAAGTTGTTCCACGGTATCACCAAGTTGATCATGATAATTAATCAGGTTTCTACAGGGAGAGGGCAAATACTCCGCCAATGCAGAACATTGGAAAGACTTCGAACTTGCTACCTAGAACATATGTGTGTGATAAGAGCAATGGCAAGATAAGGGGAAAGAAGCACCAAGTGCGCGTAGTGAGATCTGACATCAAACGGTCAAGGGCTTGGGATTGGACATGCGGAGTTCTTGTAATTTCTTTATTTTTTTGAACGTCTATTATTGGATATCTTTAATTCAAGTCATTATGCATCGCTGGAAACAAAAAGGAAACGTCTTGTTGGTTCAACCAAACACCCTACGTCTCAGCTCGCTCTTCAATGAGCCGAGCATATGAGCGCTCTCTGCAACAGCTCCCTTGTTCTCGACCGCCCGTCTGTGCAGGTATCCCATGCACTCTGAAACGGAACCCCATGGCAGGTACTTAAAAGGCTTGGGGATAGCATCCCTCTTCAGTCCAGAGTCCGCCACGCACGTGTCGTAGTTGTCCAGCAACTCGCAGCTCAACTCGTCCGCCATACCAAACAGCTGACCGCACTCGAGCTCGGTCGTGGCCTGGCCGTCGAGGATTCTGCGGCGGTGGGTAGAGATCGCGGTCGCGGAGCTGGCGGCGTTGTGGGTGGCAAGGAAGAGCGCGCTGGCGGGGAACTGGCACTCCTTGGCTTCCTCGGGAAGTCTCTGGCTGATGAACATGTCGGCAATATCGTCAAAGTTGTTATCGGTGTCTTGCTTGGTGTCGTGGATCAGGGATCGGACCTCGTTCTCGATGTAGGCACCGCGGACAAGCTTGACTCCCAGACTCCAGCCCTCCTTAGCAGCCAGGGAGATGTGGCGCTCAGAGTTGGCCTTGGAGCCCTTGAGGTAGCTCTGAATAGTGTTGTAGATCAAAGGCTTGCTCTGGCGGTTGTGCTTTCTCATAAGATCGATGGTCCACTCGTCCAGTTGGGGCTGAAGGGCTTGTTGCTCGGCATCGATCCAGAGACGGGAGCCTTGTCTGTTGGTTTCCACACAGAGTTCGTCCAAAGCATTGCTCAAGACTTCAGGGATGGGTGCTTTCTCCTTCAGGGCATCGACAGAAATGGGACCAGCGCCAGTAATCCTGATCTTGTTAGTGGGGACATATGGAAAACAGTGGTAGTGCAACTTACTTGACGGCCAGGAAATCGCCCGGTGCCATCATACGGAGAGTCTCAAGGTTTCCGGTCTTCCATTGCTGAACCATTTGGTAAACCTCCGGTGCGTACTGCCCAGCTTTCGTTTCCGCTGCGGCTGCCTTCTTGTCCAACACGATTTCCTTTGCGTAGTTGAGAATGACACCCTGGTATCCCATCCGCTTAACTTCAGAAACTGTCTTCGAAACTTGAGGGATGTTCTCTCCGGCGCAGAAGTGGTCGTAGATAGTCCATCTAAGAAGCCGATTTAATAAGGGGTTCTTATCGGGGTTGAATAGTGCGAATTTCGTGTTGGCGATAAAGTGTAATATAGGTAGTGCCGGCTTCATTAGAAGTGGTGATGACATAAACTGGGTGAGAAATAGTGACCGGACCAAGGCCTTGGTTGAAAGTCTGGATAAGGGTGATTTCTTCGGGGTCGGGGTGAAAGTTCGTGGCGCTGTTGGAGACAAGGTCTGAGTCTTGGCCGCCGTGGTGCTGACATATCTCGCCGCTCCCTGCAGTCGAAGGGATCTGCAGAAAGGCACTTGCGCCTGGCCGCACGCGACGAGTCTTGCGGGCATCGTGATAGCTAGGAAGACAGACTTCAATGTTTTGCTGAGACAAGACTTGACACACGCAAAGATGTGTGGGAGGGTGCCTGGGTACTTCTATTTATCGATCACGAACGGCTACGGCCGGCATAAACTCTGAATCGCGACCGAGCCATGGCATCGTGGAGATATGTCTCCGAGCTAGCCACCCCCCAGCCGTCGGCGTTCCGATGGTGTGTTTCTGCACACTCGCGGGGAAGACTAAAGTTACGTGTGGTATTTGCGGCTCTTCTCCATCACGGAGCACGGCGGAACCGTCTTTACACTGGATCATCACCTCGCAGGTGGATAAGACAAACCCGCCACCGACGCAATATCAAGACATCATTGGGCCTCGATGAGATCGAAATCTAACACAAGCCCGTTATCGGAATGCTTTGAGTTTAGATCCATGAGATAAGAATGACCAAGTGACCAAAGTCGGGTGCTCGGATATAGCAGGTGTCGGTGCGCGCGTCCCGACATGTCGGATCCAAAAAGTCGGAAGGGCTTATCGCGTCGGAAGCTCGTCCCGACAACACTAACACGCTTGTTCTGTTGTAGATCATCTACCAACCTGTCGGAGTAGCACTCTGTCCCACGCGATGGGCTGATATATTCAGCTGCACCTTGTTTCCCACCTCAGATAAGTCCTATACAATCATTCTAGCCGTAATCGAACTCTACTTTTCGTAGACTGTGTAAAGTGTTTGCGACGATACGCCTAGGCCGGTTACCTTTACCGGCATTGTCTCTTGCTCGGATGAGCCCCTTGTTATCTATTTTGTTGTTGTTCTATTAAACGCCGTAGCGGCAAAGGCGCAGCCGCCCTTGCGGCAGACCTCCCGAAGGGTATATGGCGTGGAGGGCCGTAGGCTCGAGCTATATACTCTATAGTACACGCCTCTTCCTAACGTCCTCCAAATCTTGCCCGTGGGCTACTGCCTGTTCTATCCGTTCCTAGTTCCCGCTGGTTCCCTAGCTCCGTTGTCACCGTCTGTCCCTCTAGGAGGAGAAATTCGTTAGTCGGGCCTAGGTCAAGACCTAGTCCTTAGTACCGCGGGCAGATCTTCTGAAAGAAGTTTGTCACGCGGAGAAAGGCCTGGAAGCCAATAGGATCAGTAATTAACCCCTTATAATACCGCTCAAGAGATCCTATAGGTCCTATAGGATCGAGTAGGCTAGAAGGGTGGAGGGTAGGCCACTGATGCCTCCTCACTAGGGTCTTTTGGCAGTAGACTAGATGGTCTACCGCCTTTGCCTCCCCGCAGGAGCAGGTAAGTAGTGCTTCTGTATAGTTAAAGCGTTAGTGGTATTATTCGAAGTCTCCATGGCCTGATCGGGCTGCTAGGAGATGATAAAGGATAGCCCGCGGCAGGGCTAGTTCGGGAGCGCAAGTGAGGGTGGCCTTGAGTCCTAGCTGGGTATAGCAGGATATTGCCTCCCGTTTCCACCATTTTCTATATTAGCGACGTATACGCTCCTTAGCAAGCCGTTTGATCCCTGAAAGAGTTGCTAGCTGTCCCCTTGGGACTAGTAGGGTTGTGCCCTCCTTAGCTAGGCTGTCTACTTCTTCGTTTCCTTTGATACCTTGGTGCCCAGGAGACCAATAGGTTCGTATATCGTGTATCCTGCCTACCTCCTGGATCTCAAGGAAGGCCGCTTATGAGGAGTCTAGGACCTTACCGCAAATCCCCTAAATTACGCTGGTATTATCGATACAGATATGTATCCCATCGAGTGCTGAATGGCAACAGTACATCCAGTGAGGGGTAATAGCCACTCAGAGACCAGCCAAGCCTTTTTCCAACCAATCAAAAGGCCTAGTTTTCTAGTACCTCTTCCGTCTATATATTCTGGTTATGAAATAGGTACCAGCAATCTTCTGAGTTACAAATCGCAACCCCACACTGCTCACACCCTGACCTCGTCTTCTTCCTATGGGATCGTGAGTTTCCTGAGACTTCGCTAAGCGCCTTCTTTGGCCGATTACACGCAACGCAGGCGGAGGCGCTCTTCCGCGAGACCCTTATATGCTGTTGCCACGGAACAGAGTTATTTCTCGTATTGTCGGCTTCCGCTCGGGTACGTTGAAGGGGTTGAATACGCTGCCCCTTTCGAGGGATGGGGGCTCATATGGGCGTACGACCGCATTATCGCATCTCTCGGGTGTACAGTCAGCAGTACAGGCAGCGGCTAGGTCTTCGGGAAGTACGGCGACGTTGATACACGACCGTACCGACCCCTCGGAATCGCTAGAAGTCATCGCGACGTTTCATCACATAGGAAAATGTCGGTCTTGGTGGTGAAAATAGGGAGGAACCCATAGGGGTAAATGACGTACCGTCATGTATCGCTGTTGTGAGGGGGAAAAGTGGGTAATAATTGGGGGGGGGATGTACTGTTGCCATTCAGCACTCGATGTCGTAGATGGCCGCTGCGATAAGGTCGCTACAAGAGCGAAGAGGGAGTACTCCAAACTATTGATCGTACAGAACACGATATTTAACTACGATCCAGGCAAGTCGTCTAGCGATGAGTCTCTCCAAGCCTTTTCCGAGGACGGCTAAGAGCGTAATTGGCCTATAGGAGCGCGGGAGTGTCTTGTCTCTTTTTCCCGGTTTTGCTAGGATCACGAGAGTTGCTTTTTTAAAATAAGTAGGATGCCAACCCTCGCGTATATACGAGCGACACCCTCTCCGAACGAGACTCAGGGACAAATCAGGACCAGACTCACGGCTACGACGAATGGTAAGCCTCGTAAGTAAAGATACTGAATATATCGATCCGTTAGAACTCCCCCCTTGGGAGCAACTAGCGGACTGGCAGATAGCCCTCGCCAGGGTCGGCTACGAACTTAAGAAGACTAAAGAAGAACAGGCCCTCTCCTTTACAGGCAGGATGGCAACTTTCTCTAAGCGGGATATTATTGTCTATACTAACGGGTCCTAGATATCGGACGGTAGTAGTACCTCCGCCGGAGTAGGCTGGGTAGGGTACTAAGCTATACGGTAGATCTTCCGCGGATACGAACTACTCGGCTCCTAAACTAAGGTGTATGACGCGGAGGTATATACTGCGTATTACGGCCTAATGGAAGCTACCCGGGCTCCTACGGCTCGTATGGTAGATAACGTTTATATCTGCCTCGATAACCTCGCAGTCGCGGCTAGACTATACTCCCAGAGCATAGGAAGCAGCCAGGCTAGATTTAGGGCCTTTAATAGGCTCTCTTCCTCCTGGACTCGGAGATAAAGAGAGAGCTGGACAACCCCCGGCAGGGTTTATGTTTGGTGGTGTCCTGGGCACACGGGAGTAAGGAAATGAAGAAGCGGATGCTCTAGCCAAGGAAGCCTGCAAACTAATCCCAAAATCATAACCACAGCCCTCATTAGCGCACCTAGAAAGGCAAGCTAAAGTAGCTACCTTCCAAGCCTTTGCCAGAAAATGGCTGTCCCAATACCCTTAGCAATATGCCGACCTCGAGATAATTCTTTACCCTAAGCCGCCCGAACTCCGCCTCCCTCGGTACTTACTAGGAAGGCTATACGTAGTAAGATCCTATTATGGAGACTTTGCAGCATACCACGAGAGATTCGCTTATTAAGATGCGTTGCTCAACTGCAGCTGTGGGAAACCTAAGATACCAGTCCATTTCTACTTCTGCAAGCGTGGACGTAAGGTTATACCGCGCTACCTCCGCCAACGTATAGCTAAAGCAAGTATTGATTTCTTGTTAGGTTCTGCTAAGGGAGCCTCTCTTCTATGCAAATGGATAGAGGAGACCAATTTCTTTTCCGAAATTTGCCCGAGTTATTGAACAGGAACGTTAGGTGAAGACGGTAGCCTGTAACATAGTTTAGATTAGCATAGACTATGTCGGTATAGCGCCCGGTACGTCCTTTTGTTACCAGACGTTAAATACATCATCATCATCATCATCATCATCACCCAAAGTGAGCGCTCACCAGTATCCACTTAGTGATCACCAACGAACATGGTGATCAGGCAACAAAGGATATGTTCAGGATCAGGACTTGTATATAGGATGGACTCGAGCCGGGCTCTAGGACAGACTTCCCATAGCTTCTTCAGCAATTAACTTCGTATCAGGATTAACATCCGCTTTCAGCTATCACCTTGACAAGACTACGATTGATCACCGAAGCCTTACCTTACCTTACGATTGACAGACGTAGCTTCCAGGAAGCTATCCGACCGTGGCGTGTAATAATCGATTATTACATCGGTTATTACATCAACCAGACTTACGACACTGTTACTGAGTATCGCAGCCTCAACTTCTGCAAACATACCCCTACGACTAGCTGGCCGTAACAGTATTCATCTTAATAGTTTTATATTAGATTGTATTACGCCCGTCTCTAGCTTCCACTTTCTACATAAAAACCCTTGCTTCTACTCAAAGTTCTTCGCTAGCAAGCTGTCAGCCAGCATCCCAATAGCACGGCATTCTGTGTCTGAGTTTTACCTGGCTGTTTCTTCCCGAGCGCTTGTATCTCTCACTGAGCCTACTTTAGATACATCTCCATATGATTGACTTTATTCATACTTTGTTTACTTCGCTTTCCATATCTCTTTATTATAATGTGGATATTCTTAAGTAAATATGTGGCGGATGAATACTAGATCCTACTGAAGCCCTATTTGGATGATCGTGTCCGTTGAGGGACGGCCTCGTCACTGCTACTAATCAACATCTCCCACTCGCACCTCCTCCTTCGAATGCTCGCTTGTAATACCCGTCCACTAGCTCGCAATCCTGTAGATCTCCCTGTACCGAGTTTACTAGACTGACTTCTAGTATGTAGCTATGATGAGGCCGCATATTAGTTACTCTCTTACTGCCCTATCTCTTATATAAGCCTTGCGATAGTCGCCTTATTACGACTTCCTAGTGGACGGCCTCGCCGAGTTATCTTTAAGGCTGCCGGTGGCGTTTTCCTGCGCTGAGCCCCTAGACTATTATC